GTATATTTTTTTATGTTAATATTCCTATAAATAATTCCCTCATTTTTCTAACTCTTGTCATTTCACACTGATCTTGCTGTTCATTCAAACCATTACCAAGAATTGTAATGATCAAGTAGCTTCTCTGCACATTAAACTGAATAACTTTTCCTGACTTCTGCATGGTGGCTTGTGTAAAGATACTTTGTTGAAGGTACCCCTGAAAGCCTGAATATTATTGTTTCAGCTCAGCCACCTGGTTTGAACAGAGTTGTTACCTCCCAGCTAACCCAGCTTTTTCTGACTGTCACCCTGGAGTGCCCATTTTATGAGGTACAGTACACATGAAACCAGAAGTGATGAAGCATTTCTGTCTGATTGATTTGTGTGCTTGACAGAACTGACTTAACTCTTAGGTTATTAAAGTACTTTTTTTGTATTTCCAAATACTTTTCCAACAACTATTTGCTTTCTGTGTTTGGCTTGTGAAGTTGTGAAGCACAAAAAGAGATCAGGCACACTTTGATCTTGGCCTGACTGGAGAGGAGTGGAAACAGTTGTGAATTTCTCATGAGTGTATTCAGCATGACAGCATGGAAGCTTGGTGAGGATGTCCTGGTGGTTAGGGGACTTGGGGGGATTCCAGCAGATCATACCTTAGACTGTAGGTCTTTCAACAGACTTGGCTTTGAAATGCACAGAACACAATTTCCTACATTAATGAGTTAATTACAGAAATGTTATCTCCTTTTTCTTTTGTTTGATTTGGTGTTCTGTCCTTATGTAGGGTCCGAAACTCCATCCAAAGTATCAAGTAAAGGCCTTTCCCACGCCTCACAGTTCTTGTGATGTTCACCTCCTTAAAAGGGTGAAGACTGGATTACTTTATTTACTAAAAAAAAGAATATATTTTGCATCAGAGGTATCAACACCATATTTCTACACAGTTGGTAAGTAACATTTCTTTAGATTAATAATTAAATGTGAGTTTATGCTGCCAAAACTTTAATTCCCTTTTGTGAGAGTTCTAAATTTTGCAAATTCAGAAAAAGTAAACTAGAATACAAAACTCTGTAGAAGGTCTGAAATGGGGAACTTCAAGTAAATCCATTTTTATAGTCAGAAAGAAGAAAAGGAGGAGAAAAGAACTACAGCATTTCTTGGAATTCATGCACTGAAAATAGCTGCTAACTCTTGTATTCTTTATTTTTACTATCAGCTCCTTATCCTTCAAACAATTTGTGTAATGTAAAGCAAAATGAGGCAGTGCCACTTGCCTCCTCTCCTTGCTTTAGTGGTGAGTAGAGAAAGGGAGAACTGGAAGGTGGTCAGCCCTGTGCCCTGCTCAGCTGGGCTCCTCTGCCCTCAGCAAGAACAATTGACAACATATAGTCAGTGGGGGGTTGTGGGCTGTAGGAGAGGAGTGAGCAAAACAGTGTTTCGTGAAGCAGGAAAGGCAACAGAGAAGGTAGTGATGAGGAAAGATGTGTGCCCGGGAGGGATGGGTGATAATACGGTGTTGAGGGAAGGGCCTCTTGGATGCCATGGGTGTTGGAGGGATTTAAAATGAAAGAGAGGGATGATTCCAGAATTTTTCTGTCTTCAGCTTCCACATGGGTGTTGAAGTTGGCAGGGTTTAGGTCCAAAACTCATGTTTGCAAATTGACATAATCTAGAAAATTAGGGAATTAATGAGAAAAACAAAGAATGGGGGCAGAGAGAGAAACTCTTCACAAAGCCCTCAAATTCCAGAGACCCTAGCCACACCAGCAAGGTGCCATTTGACTACATTATGGTTTTCGGTGGACTTGGAATACTAATTTGCTGGTTAGCACTAGGAAAGGCTGAAGTGTTACTATTCATAATTTATTTGTTTTAAGTCTGTACACATCTTTTGCAAGCCTCTGTGATTCAGAAAAAAAAAGAATTATGATAGTGTTTTAGTTATTTTATAAAACAGTGAACTC